CAGGAAAGCTATTATTTTGAGTATTCATATGCTAACTGAGAGGCAAGCTCTACCAGCAAGGAAGGTCAGGGCGAGAATGCTGTTGGATAAGTAATCAACAATATTTACATTATGTATGTGTGAATATTAACATGAAACAGAGAAGAATTAAGATGCATTTTTATATGGATAAAATTTCTTTTTCTTATATGAACTCATACATGGAGTCACAGCAAAACTTTGGATAACTAGCTACAGTGTGGTATACTAGCATTTGAGCTAAAATTGCCTTGGTTTCTTGTGACTTCCTTAAAATCGTGGTTTTATGATTTCAGGTTGAGTCCAGAAATCTTCCTTAAACGTCCAGTAGTAGAAGGAAATCGTTGGAGGTTGGACTGCATTCTTAAGCGAAAAGCAGTATGTATTTTCCCAACAAATGTTATAAATTTGTAAATGTTTATTGCTTCTGAAATGCCTTTTCTTTTTCAAAGCCCTTCATATACAATAACAGCTCTTCATTTTATTTATTTATTTTTATGTATTTAGTCCAGGGGCTACAGGGTCTCACTACACATATCAGACTCGTAGTGATCCTCTTGTTTTCAGCCTTTCAAGTGCTGGGATTACAGGCCCATGACACCCCACCCTGTCTCAATTGCTGTCTCAGCATGCCCCAGGGGTGGGGCCAGCAGGGCACTCCTGGGATTGAACCCCAGTCCACTTAGCTATCTGGCCAGCCCTCAACTCTTCATTTTAGAGTTTGACAAAAAAGAATAGTTATGCATTTCCTTTCATTTGATTCTTTTTTTTTTTTTCCTTTTGAGTACATACATATTTGAGCCTACCTCACAGCATGAATTATATTAGCAACTCTATAATTTTTGTTTGTTAGTTATGGCCAGTTAATTTTATAGGCAATGAAATTGTAATAATATTTCATCACTGAATAGTAAATACTGAAATGAAACATGCCATTTTATTTTTTTCATTATTCTCTTGTTTAAGCAAAAGACAAAGGCATCTGGAGAATAGTCTTACATTGAGATGTGCCCAACCCGATGTGGAAGAATATCAGAGAGGGAG